GCCCATTGGAGCCATTCAGCTTTGGCCATTGCTCATATCGCTTTGTTAGTTATATATAAAAGCTTGAAATAGGCAAAAGCAAACACATCATACATCAATAAATAAAATGTGAATATGATAAAATGTATATTTGAATATTACAGGTTTTGGGTATTGCAGGCACAATACAAAAAGTGTCTACGGGACATCATGTAAAATGTCATTGTATTTAAAGCCAATATAGATTTACGCATGTGTGCGCATGCCTTGTTTCTTTATTTGTATGAGCCTTATATAAATATGTTGATATTACTACCATCAATGAAAATGTTGTTGTTTTTGTACAGCTGTTGAACGACCGCTGCGTTCGTAATTCGTTGCAATTAATTTTAATTGCATTGCTTGTCCATTTTCATTGCGTTTTCGATTTTTCACACGCAATTTGAATGAATAAACAAAAATGGTAAAAATAAAGAACTAAAATATACAAAAAAATGCTTAAACGGCATTTAAACACATAAATTAACCATAAATATTAATGTGTACAAATATAAACGCACGCACACATACACACACACACACACACGCTTGCATATTTGCAGTTCGTCCGCTTCTGGTGGAAATCAGCTTCAACAATCAGCCAATGTCGGCTGACCGTAAATATGAGATTGAGTGCCAGGCAATTGGATCAAGGCCACCTGCAAAAATAACCTGGTGGATGGGCAACCTGGAAATGCACGGCCACAGTCAGAAGGTGAGTGACATATCAATTGAGCCAAACCAAAACCCCCAAGGCGATCACTTTTACCCTCGCAGGTATCTGAGGACGGCAATGCCAGCACCTCAATACTCTCCATAGCTCCGACAAGGGAGGATCATGGCAAGGCGCTTTCCTGCCGAGCCACCAACGAACTGGTACGCAATGGTATACGAGAGACCGCAATGAAGCTGAATGTGTTCTGTAAGTAGAAGAAAAAATTTGCACTCACATATGTAGAAATAAAAATAGGTTGGGGTACAGATAACTAAAAAACTTAAAAAGTTAAATGAATTTGCCAAAGTAATCCATGCGTTGTGACACTTTCTGAATACTGTGAATTTTTTAATTTCAACATTTTGTTAGGTTCAATAGCCAAAAGTGCTTAATAACCCAAAATGTATTAGAAATATATATTTTGATCAATGAGGAACATTTACGCAAATAAAAAAAATAGTTTTTCCAAACATAAATTATAAGATTTGAAAGGCATAAGATCACCAAATTCTAAAATCTAATTATTTATAAGTTATTTACTTAGAAAAAAGAGAACAAAAAGTGAAATGAAAGTTTAAGAAGACTGCGTGGTAAAAATATTAGTAACAACAGCCTTCAAACTAAAGGGTACGTCAATATACCGCAATAGACAAAGTGCTAAAATTGCCCCGAACTTGAAGGAAATTACGTTCATATAGGACATTACACAAAAGCCACAAACTCATCTCATATTGTGAATTACAAGTTGCTTATCCCAAAATAAAGAGTATTTCAAAGGAAACAAAATCTTGAAAATACATGCTAAATAGAAATACTACGTTTTAGGGTTGTTAATGGGCGCGTTTTCAATTAGTTTTTCACCTGAAAGCTTTAACACACATGCATTGATATAATTAAAGGCAATATTAACTGACATATATATTGTGGCTGGCTTTTTGAATCGAGCTAATACAGTTAATCAGTAGTCAGATGGTAAACGACAGATGCAAATGTGACAGTCGGCTGACCTGCTTTCAGATAGATATTATTCAATTCAAACAAATGGGACAACCTGGCCCCAGTTGAACACAAAGTCAATAAAACTTGTGGGCTTGCCAAGGGGTAGAGGGTAGCTACCCCTGTCAAATAATTACATGCATGTTGAACACGCGCTTTATTTTATGGCTGTCAGTGGGGCATAAACTAGCTAAGGTGCGGGGCCTGAGCTTGAAGAAGCAGCGGCAATGCCATAAACTGTGCCAAGCGCTTATCACTCGTGTCGTCGGAATCAATACTGATTTGCATATAAATTTCGTAGACATGGGGATTTTTCTTCTGTTTTCGCCCGAATTTTTTCAGCCCAAATGTCAAGCGCTTATTTTATGGGCTAAGTCAACAATATGCGCTCAAAGTTTGTTAATAAAATGTCTATGCTAAGATATTAAAACGGCCATCTTGCGCTTTACCATATGGCTCAATATGAGTGTTTTTGGCATAGTGTCAGCTCAAAGACATTGACCTACGCTCACACCCACACACAAAGTATATAGAAGTGCTCTCGTTTATGTTTCAATAGTCTCAAGAATTTTGCCAACGCTATCGTTGTCGCTGCCGTTGTCGTTGTCGTTAGGCAAACAGTTGCCACGTCTATTATCCAAGAGTTTTTGCGCATCGTTCCCCAATGCCAAGGAAACTTTTACTCCTTTCAGCAACAGCAGCAGGAGCTGACGCAGGAGTAGCGCCCGCGCTAGCGAAAACCAAAGCTAAAGCTGTCTGCGTGGGCGCCTCGAAGCAGACTCTCAATTTTACGCGCGTTGGTTGCTGATATAAAAAATTAGATAACAATTTCAATTTCCATGCTCATTTACATGTTTATAGCGTGCTTAAAATATTTTGGTCTCCTAACCTCCTCACCTTCCCCAGTCCCTCTTGCTTCCTGTGATTTCCTCTCGCATGCTTGCAGGATTTTGTGTCTTCTTTAAGCGCGGTCGTTGTTTGCATTGGGGGGGTAAATTGAAAAGTTCTCTGCAATTCGCTGCAAATGAGCAGCCAATAATTGTTCCATTATTCTACATTATATAAGAACTGTCATAAGAACACCTTATCTGAAATCTTATGAAATTTCGCTGATTGTACCTTGGTTCTTTCTTACCTTACCTAAAAAGAAAGCGTAAAACTAAGCAGAGATTTAATTTTCCGCCCAATCAACTCGCATTAACATTTTAAATTAAATGAAAAGGAAACCACTAAAAATTTAAGTCATATCCGCAATGAAAATAATGACGCAGCAGCTACCTAAAAGCAGCTACTACCAAGGTGGCAAAATATGGACAATGTCCAGGCAATAAATAAGTGTGTTCACACTGTTTGCTTGTAAAGAGGGGAGTTTCGCCAAAGCTGACTGTAAACATGTGCTTACTGGGTGAAAAATATGTAAGGTCATCGAGCAGGGTGGAAAATAATGCTATAAATTAAAGATACATTAAGGTCTACAGCTGCTGAGCATATCTTTAAACAGCTTAATTTGTTAAATTCGATTTTAAGAGGGTTGAATTCTAAAGGCCATAGAAGGCTACAAAGTCGACCTAGTCTAGGGAATAGGCTGTATTAAAAAAATAAAAATTCTATATTCCAGATTCAATTCTCAGCTGCTTGGCCGAAAATAATAAAAGGGTTTTAGTAAACAGTCTAAATGAACACAAATGAATTTGAGCCACAGCTTTTCGAAATCATTTAAGCACATTGTACAAGTAGATCCTAATTGACCTACTCCTAATTTCTTTTTAGATTTTTGCCACGTCATAATATATTATCCTTGCCACAGAAGTTGCGAGCAAGTTTCGATGCACATTATTTTCAAAACTATTTAGACTGCACAACTGCCGTTCGCAATTAATTTTACTCTAAGCCAATTTCTCACAGTTAACTTGGCCGGGCCAGGACAGAAGTACTTTTTAGTTAATGTAATTTATATGATCAGTGGCAGAGTCAAAGCCAGAAGTAGCAGTAGCAGAAGCAAATGGAATCAATTTAAGGGCTGCTAACGAGCAGTTGTTCAACTTTTTACCCAACAGACAATGACAGGCCTCACACACTAGGAACAAAATGAGTAGTAGGACGAGCAGCCACAGGGGAGTGGCAGCCACTGGAGCACATTGCCAATGTCTACTACAAAGTGTGGCAGCGGCATTCAAAAGTCGTTACGTTAAGCTGCAGTTACGGGTTTCGGGTTTGCTTTGCTTTTGTGCTGTTGCAGTTGGACTGCGTGCCATAAAATGCATTAGCCAAGTAAAGTTGGCCAGTTTGGGCGAAGGCTGCTGCTGACCAGCTTGGCCAGTGACAGTTATTACCACTTAAGCCCATCTAACCGCAACAGTGTGGTCAGCTAGCCAGCCAGCCAGCCAAGTAGCTACTTTCCAAAGCCAGAAGCGAGTATTGTGTTTTGCTTGCTACAAACTGGGCTTAAAGTCAACGTTAATGAACTTGTTGAGCAGCAGGCAAAAAGGTCTTTAAATTATGCAAACAACTTTTGTCAATGCCTTTGCCTTTGTCTATGTCTTTAACTGTCTCTGTCTCTGCCTCTGTGTCTGCTTAACGTTTTTTACTCAATTCTCTAGCTGGCTGTCATTCGCTGGGCTTAGGCGAGCGATTTTCATTTTCATTAACAAGTCTTTGCAAAGCGCAAAATCGGCTTAAAGAAACTTGTTTATAAAACGTGGCAAAAGAAAACAGTAAGCACATCCCAAGACCAAACTAAAAGGAGGAAAGGCAACAACATTGGGCAAATGAAGGTAATGGTAAGAAATGTGAGGCGGGCACGTACTCCTTCGAAGCGACACTAATCACAGATGAGCGCGGATTAACCCCAATTCCCTTTTTTGTGTCCGTTTCTGGGAATTTTCTTTAATTTTATTTGTTGTATTTTGTTCATGTTTTTTTTTTTGTTTTTTTGTACTAAACTTGACCTAAAGTAAAAACTATAGCAAATTGCAGTTGATAGGCTGGGCCATGTCCAAAAGCAGGCAGCACATAGGAAACTTTACACAGCACAGATAAACAAAATGCAAATGCATGTTTGCATAGATACATATATAGTACATATTTGTAAAAAGACGCAGCTATATTCTTATTATTATCTTATATTGCAGTTATACCCACCTTACAACTGGACTTGGGCTCAAATCTAAATCCAGAGGATATCGAGGAAGGCGATGATGTTTATTTCGAGTGTAAAGTGCATGCAAATCCTGCTGCTTATAAAGTTGTCTGGAAGCATAATGTAAGTAACAAAAACACTTTTCAAATCCAAAGATTTATCAAGATTTATTCACTGGTGGACGGCGAATGCAAAAGAGAGAAAAGCGTTAGAAAGTGAAAAAAAAACTATATGTAAATTCAGCTTCTTAAAATACCTAAAGCTCCTAAAATATATAAACATATATTTAAAAGTGGTTCTCTTTAATATTGCATGTTAAAGGTTTCGCTTTTATAATTTATATATGCAAATGTCTACAGCTCGTTTTGAGTTGGCCAGAATATGATCTAGATAGATTGACCTTCAAGTGCTCTTCAAATTTGCCCGAAACATTTGTGAATACGGATACGACGTTGTACTTCCGGCTATTCCCCAGGCATTGGCGTGCCGTTAGTGTGTGCGTGTGAGTGTATGTGTGAATATTGGCTGAAAGGGCAGAGCGCCACTAAATTATAATGAAACCAAAATTAAGTGGTCATTTTTACTGAATTATTGGCCAATTATTTTAAGGCAATTGAGTCAAGTGGCCCAGCTGAGAGCGGCTTAGGGCAATTTCAAAGGCCCCAAATGTGCAAAAGTTTGCGTAGCAAATCATTTGTTTATTAGTTTTACAAGAAGCACACAAAAACTTTAGCTGACTTGCATAAGTAAAAAGAAAAGATAACAACAACCCGAACAACGAGCAAATAAATGTTATTCAATGCGCCAGACTCAAAGCAAGTGAATCAAGTGTATGAATAATATGAATGCTAATTGAATTCATTAGAAGGCAACAACAAGGCCAACGAGAACACAGCTGAGTACAAGCGCAAACAACAACAACAATAACAGTCAGGCATAACTTTGGCAAATGATTATAATAAATAAACAACAACACGGCCAAAAAGTTTTTGGGGCCCATAAGCAGCGCACAAGACAAGGCAAAACAGATGTTCCAAGAACTTTAACTTCAGCTAGCAAAGAGACACCAATTTTGACTGATGGCAAATGATGGAAAAATCTAAAAGTGCACAATTTTTTCGTGAAGAGCAACAACACCCAAAAAGTTGTTATGCCTGAAATAAAAAAGTGCAATAAAATGGCTGCCAATCAATTTTTAGACACGGCAAAAATTCAAATATTAAATGAAAATGGAGTATAAAGAAGCGAATACCCTGTATATATTCAACACTATCTGCCGAAAGTAAAGCTTTTTAGACGTTCATAATCGAATGATCAATCAGAGCTAGTATTGGATCATTTTTTGATTCTGCAAGCAAAAACAATATTGTCAAAGAAATAACTTGAAGACATCACAATACTTGACTATAGTAAATATACAATCATCAAAGTCAAAATGCTTACTACATTGTGATATTTATTTTAATTTCTAAGACGTAAGGCATTGATATTTCCCTGAAGTATTGCAAATGAAAGATAAAAAAACCATCAGAACAGTTATACACAAGAAGCTTCTAGAAAAATGCAATTCCCATTGCTTTTGATAGAAAGGCTTACAAGCAAAAAGTGTTCGCACATATACATGCAAATTGCAGCTCATGTCTCTGTTGACGGGTCTAACAAGAAAACTAAACAGTTAGTTAGTTGCCAGCCAATTGACTTGCTCAGTGTCATAACAATAAAAGTTGAGTGCGAAGCAAAAAGCGCAAGCGGAAATGAAATGGAAGCGAAAGAGAGGAACAAGCAAAATAGGGCGAAATACAATTGGCAATGCAGTTAGTTTTTCCGCGTGTGTGTCCGTCTGTGTGTTTGTGCGGCTCAGATGGCGTATGCGTAATGAGTACAAGGTCTAATGGCAAAACTACTTTGTGTGCGCCAGCAAAACAGAATTTTCTCAAGACAAAGGGAAAAGTCAAGTGCAAGTGAAGTGTGCACAAGTCAATTGGTAATTGGTTATTGGCGTCAACAATTTGTGTGCATTTAAAATACGAATTCAATTAAATAAACTTTTGTGGCATCTTTTGCCACTGTTGACACAGATCAATAATAAACTAGATTAATGGGTACATTGTTTCTCGTAATTGCAGTGCATGCAATTCACTTCAATAAAAGCAAAGCACATTAACCACAACTTATTTTATGCAACATTCACCATGAAATTGCTGCTGCTGTTAAGGGTTTAACCCGAGACATGACAGTGCGAACACATATTTGAAATATTGCTGCAATATGTGTGTGCAAACAATGACAGAGGACAACTGAGCAGAAATGTTGTTTCTGTTGCTTTGCCTGCGTCAGTTATTATTCAATTATGCATGCCAAGAATTAACGACGAGCTGGCAAATTAAATTAACAATTAGTTTTATTAAACTTAAAGTCATATAGCAGCAAAACTTTCACCCCCCTTTTAGTATGTGTGTGTGAATAGCAGTGGGTTGTCTTTACGGCTGTGCATGTGTGGTAAACTTTTGCATGCTCATTAAGAAGCTGGCAACAATTTTGATGGAAGACGTTGCCAGCGCAACCGACCAGCAGCACTCGTTGCGCAGAGGGTAAAAACGCAAAACCCGACTTCGGGATGCTGCTGGCAGTAAAAGTTATTTAACCCATGCGCATATATGCGTGTGTGAAAGTGTGTTTGTATATGTGTGCTTTTCTTTGTGTTAATGGAAGTTCTGAAATAGCAAACATAAACGGTAAATTTGATTAGAGAGCGAGCGGGCAAAACTTCAATCACTCTGACTACACACAACATTTTTAAAGTTATCCAACCATTTGACTCTAAATTGAGATTTAACGCGGGCGGACACTTTTCGACATGACGAGTTCGTATAGATAGATATTAATGTTCGATAGTTCGATTATGAATGGCAACGTTTCCCATACAAAATTCAATTACAGAGCTATGTAAAATGCACGAAAAACATTGTTTAAGGCGATTCCAAATTGTACAGATCCTGTAGAAATTTTATGGCTACGCATTTTTGCTTCACTTTTGCAAAAGAAATTTAAACTAATTTAGATTTAGATTTAATAAAAATAATCATCAATAAAATGTTTGGCTGTACACCAGATAATTTTGTTTGCTGGCATGAACAGATTTTCAGTATAGCTTGCTTTCTTTGCACTATCAAAGGTCTTGAATGACATGCGTCCAACTCCGATTGACAGTTACAAAATACAATTTCCAAACTTCAAAAACAATCTGATTCTCAATGGAAAATACGTGTGCTGAGAAAGTTTTTGGTGACTTTTCAAAAGACCGGAATATGGCACAAATCTAGTTTAAAGACGAACAAATGTGTAGTTGATTTGTGGGCAAGAGAATGTTATTGGACCCGAAGAAGCCAACACAATCAGCCAGGCCATTAAATAAATGGTCAACACTAATTGGGTATTTATTGTAGCAGGGTAAGCAGCCCAGCAGTAGCGAGTGGTAGGCAAATACAAACATGTCAAGGCGCTTGTCTCTGCAGACACACAAACAAAATGGTAGCGCATAAAATGCGCCATTAGCAAGGAGAGGCTGTGCGGCAAGCGGCAGTTGGCAGCTGCCAGCTGGTTGCTGGCAAAAGGGTTGTGCGGCTGGTAACAACCTGGGCTTTAGTTCTGAGGCGAAACGGAAAAGCCAGTGCGGAATAGCTGCAGCGGATGTGCCTTCAACTATTGAAATAATCCTCAACTGAGACGAAACGAAGCAAAACCAACTTATTTTTACTTATTTACTTTTATTTTATTTCTGTGTGACAACCTTGAACTTTGTTTACTTTTGTGAGCTCAGCAAATGGCTGGCATCATTTTAGGGGCTATTTAAGTGAGCCCTACGGGAATAGTGGCGGGGCCACGGGGCCTGTACGGTTTCGCTGAGTGCTAAGCAGGCTTCAAGGTCATGACTATTCGAATGAGTTTTTATCTGCTTAAGGCTGAAGTTGAGCGCCGTGTGCTTGGTCTTTAAAATGTGCTCATAATATATATCAAAAATACGCCTAGTTAACTCTACCAAGCCAAGTCAGCATTTTTTTTAAAAGCAAACAGTCAAAGACATTTGATTTGGAACAATCACAAACAAGAATACAAATAAATAACCATTGGACAAACATTGTGTTGTGTGACGAACTCAGTTGTTAGCCCGCCCCTCCGTACAGCATTGTGGCTCCATTGTCATTGGCATTGTTTGGCCTGGGCCAAAGAGCTGTGGCCAGACAAAAGACGCGACGCGACCATACGCACACACAATTAGAGTCAAAGTTGTGGCTCAGTTCGCACAAAAGTAGGCAACACTATTATCAAAGTGCTGCCACATTGCATTGTTTGCCCTTGCTTATTGTATGCTATTTGCACATATTCTCAAATGTATTTGTACCATATTCTGGTTGTTGCTGCTTTCTGCTTGTGCTTATGCATTCTTATGGGCACAAGTGTGTGTGAGTGTGTGGTTGTGGGTGTGTGCTAAGGTCATACCGGCTTTGTTCGACTTGCTGTTGTTCTTGTTGTAATTTTGCCATTTTGACTTTTGTCGACAATTTATACACACATTTTTATTTATTTCAATGTTGCCATTGTTATTGTTGTTGTTGCTGCTGCGCAAGCCTAAGTGCGAATTTGTTTTGCTGCTAAATGGCACAAGGCTCTGGGGAAATGCGTCAAAATCTTGTCGAGTAACGGCGCACTGGGACCGCCAAGCAAACAAACACAGGCATAGCCAGTCCCCATATATGCTTATAAATGAACGTGCTGCTCATGAAGGTCAACTTTGTGTGTGAAATTTAAGTAAATATTGCCTGATTTTCTGCTCTTTGCAAATGCCAAACACGTTTCACACACTGACGCCCAATACTCTAATGAAGCGCCTCGCTTATGAGTGCGCGTTTATGAGCGAACCATTTTAGAGGGTAAGGTCTTATAATAAATGGAGCCGCTGCTGACCTTGCGGCCAAGCAACGGCCGCAACGCAAAATGTGCTAAGCTGAATGGCAATTTTTTTGGACTTACGCATGCATTGCATGAATAATCTTTTAAAAAATTGCAAGGCGATATAATGAGTTGACGTAAAAAATGTTTAAGCAAATGTTGGCATGAATAAAAGATTTAATTTGATACATTTTTTAATAATCTTTAGCAATATAACTCAACTGAAGTAATAATAAATAAATAAATGTTAGCAGCGTATACAAAATATTTGAATTTAAAAATATGTTATTGTTAATATTAGAATTTAAACAATTTTAACTTGTTTGATTTGTAGAAATGAGCCTCCAAAAATTTGAGAATCCCTGAATTTACTAGATAACTATTAAAGCAGTTATTTTCCGTGGTTCACCCATTTTCCGCCCGTATATCATTTAAATCTACCCATACTGTATTGGACTCAACGTAATAAGTAATAGTTGCAAAGAAATTTGAAAATAATATACAAGTTTATCGAATAAAGTACCAAAAGTTGTAATCAAGGGAGAATTTTGGAGTCGAAAATCACACTTTCGTTCATAAAACCTAAGTTGTATTCGTACTTTCCATTTAAAAGCCATAGATCGTAGTCTTACAAATGTAGTCGAGACTTCATCCAGAAGATGATGTAGATATTTGTAATTATAATTTAAATATATAAAAACATCAGTTATTTTCATAAGAAAGAAATTTAATTTCCTTAATTAGCTTTACTGGAGTGTTCTTTTGCCTGTATGCGGCTGTGCTAGTCGAGTGTAGAACGTTTAGAAAATAAGCTAATTAGAGCTATTCAGCTACAAAAAGCCGTTGTGTATATACGTCATGTACATAATCCTACTAATTGCCATAGATTTTTCTGTTTGATAACCATCCACCTGTAGCATCTATTGAGCGTGTGTGAATGACAGACAGAAACAAAGGAAAACGCTCATTAGCACAAGCAGAGTATAATGATAGGAATGCATTAATTGCTCATAATTCAAGACTAATATTAATATGCTATTTATATTTCGTACCACTTGCAGCATCAAATCATACAGCACAACCAGCGAGCCGGCGTAATTGTCAGCAGCGGAGATCTGGCGCTGCAGGGCGTCACCCGCCACCAGGCCGGAAACTACACCTGTACCGCTTCCAACGTTGAGGGCGATGGCGACTCTAACATAGTCGAGCTGAAAGTAATGTGTAAGTACAAGTGCTGCATGGATTTGTTAGACTTTAAATTATGGTCGGGGTAGCTGGAGTCGATTTTCGAGTTGAACTGCGCCCCATTTATTTAGGATTTCATTGAATTGATTGCGACTATATAAAAGCTTTGTTGTTGTCAACGATTGCGCCAGCAGTCGCATGTCAAGTTTTATAGGGCACGTGTTGAGTTTTATTTAGCACTTCAGAAAGGAAAGAACTGAAAAACCAAACCAAAAGTTATAGCTGTGTGCAACGCTGCGCAACATTTTAAGCTTGGCCCACATTTGATATGTGTGTGTCGATTTGCATGGCGCTCGGCATTGTTATTGTGGCTTGGGTCATAAAAAATACGCGCTGAATGGTTTCGATTGGCGTTGCGTTGGGCCATCATTCTTTTAAAACATGACCCAACGTTCGTTTTCAGCCATTAACAAACATTCGCAGCTCTTAAATGCCAACTGACTATTAAATCGAATCCCGTTTGGCTGCTGCCTCCATCATATTGACAGTCTGCTTCGCCAGCCGTAACAGCGGTGGTGGTTGCACTGCTTAGGCTTTTGGTACAAACCTTTGACACACAAAAAGGCAGCATTATTGAGTGGCCGAATGGTTAGGTGGTTGGCTGGTCGAATGGGTGAGTGGTTGGTGAGAGTGGCGCATTGTGCGGCCGTACGGGCTTCTAGCAGCTTTATTGCGTATACGCCCCGTTATTGTGTTACACTCGAAAACCTTTTGTACTGTCGCTCTTTTGTGCTTGCAACTGAAACTGCAGCAGCAACAGCAGCAGAGCTGGAGCTGGCTCGGGCTCAATTTTGGCTTTGGCTTTGCCATCTTGGTCTCGTATAGAGCTCGGGCACTTTTGCGGTTGCCAACTATGATTTCTGAAAACCAACCCACAATAAGCACATTATGCTCGAGTCCAACCAGCCAGTACCCGGCTTCCTGCCTTTTGTTGACGTTTAGGTATTTTACTATTGACTGAGGGCATTTCCTTATTATTATTAGTCAGCCAACAACACAAAAACCCGTTAGACGAGCTAACAAATTATTGTCAATTTATGAATTAGTTTTCACAGATTTAAATGGTTTCAAGTTTCTAATTTGATTTCAGATTTAATTATGGTTAAATAATATTTAAAAGGATCCAAGAAATTCCATCTAGAAGGTAATTAGCAATATATATGCTGTAGAGATTCGTATAATTCCAAGTCTTCTAAGCTTCAATCATAGTCAATTTAGGAAGTATAGAGTTTGTATTGTCCAAGCAAAAACAAACTTAGAGTTAATTCCTATCCAGATATGAGACTCCTAAATTACAGTCGTAGGTTCGTCTCAGTCATCAAATATATTCCTGAGCTCAAATCTTCTGCCCAATTTGCTTACAAATAGTGTTGAACCTGTAATTAAAAAGAAAGAAAAGGTAGCTCCTGTTAATTATTTTCTCCTTTTCAAGCAATTTAACACACAGATATTTATTCCCAGCCCAATTTTGTGGCTGCCCTTGTTGTTGTATTTTGTTGTCGCCTTATGTTTTTATTTCCTGTGCCATTTCCTGTTACAGTGTTTTCACTCAGCATTTATATAACCTCTTTGATATACTCTTGAATAGAGTAATTTAATTCCTTCACGAAATGTGACAACAGACATCTTTGTACAGTATTTATATTATATACTGTATATCTTTTATACACCCAGTCTGGCTGGCAAAATAATCAATAAGTTATTATATAAAAAACTCAGTTGTGTGACTGAGTACAGTAATAAATCGAACATCTGCTAAATGTGTACAAGGGTATTCGGACTCTTCTACGTTGTTTTATTTTCTGTATTCACAACTTTAGCTCTTTTTGTTGCGTTCACTTTGTTTTAAGTTAAACTCCGCTTGATGGCCGGCTCTCCCACTTTTCAACAAATGCATCTAGCGGTGGTGGTGGTGCAATGTTTTTTGTCACCCAAATTGTGGCCGCACACCACTTCGGCCCAGTGCAGATTGAAATAGCCACATTCAAAAACCCAATCTGTAACCCAATGCCTGTCGTTTGGACTTGGTCTGTGCCCTGGTCTGCTCAATGGAAATTTGTTTACAGCATACTTTTGGCTTTGGCTATGACAACAGCAGCAACAGCAACTCGAACAACATTGGGAGTTGTCAAACTGTACAATAAATTGTGTGTGCACTTGCAATCTCCAATGCAGTTGTAGCTGAAACTGTGCCTGGCCAAGGATTAGAAGAAATTGAATTTTCCTAGATATTCCGTTACGGGCTCAGAACTTAAGTTTCGGCTAAGTTTTTCTTTCACTTAACGTTTGGTTAGATTTTTCTTTTGCTTAGCTCTGCTTTGTTTCTGTTGTTATTGCGGACTCTGTTTAGTTAGTTGCTTCAATGGGCAACAACGAAGCCTGCATCCACAGGCTGCACGGAATGCAAAAGGACTCTCTTGGTGCTTTTTGTGCTTTCAAACTTTTCTACTTAGGATTTGAGTGTGGTTTTCGGGCCTGGGCGTGGCATGCAAAAACAAAAACCCCGGCCATCCTCTTTAGTTGGAGAATGTGCACTCGAACTGCTCGGGCTTTATTGCATTAAGTTTGGGCAAGCAATGCGATTATTGATTGGCAGCAGCAGCCGCCGACGAA